TTTCAAGTTACTCTCGGGGCCGCTTGTTCTCTTTTGGTCACTTCTGCGTTTCTTCAGAGTACCAATAGGGGGTCACTTCTGGGTGTCTTCCACGTTCCACTGGGGGCCACTGCCACAATCCTTTCAAGCTGCTCTAGGGGGCCACTTGTTCCTCTGGGAAGATCACTTCCCCGCCCCTTTGGAGCTCCTCTGGGAGGGTCTCTTCTGCATTCCTTCCACGTTTCTGTGGGGGGTCATTTCAGAGATTCGTTGGGCTTCCTGGAAGGTACAGCATAAAGCACCTCCAATAGAGGTCCAGAGTGGATCTAGATGAGAACCTCACAAGTGATGGTGAAGGACCTGACATCTGAAATGTGACTTGATAGCCCATCTACAGGAGCTCTCCTCAGGAATTAAATGTGAAGTGAGCGGCCAGCAGGGGGCACTCCATGACACTAGCACTGATGGGGAAGAAGCTGAATATAAAATAATAACCACAGAAAGGGAAAGGAGACGCAGTATACGTCACTCTATACATAATGACAACTCTATGGGGCTATTCCATACAAATAAATACACAGCCGAGACTGAAGATTCACCAACGTGGATGGCTGCTGATAATGAATGGCGAAGAACACTCACTGGACAGGGAGACCCCACGGGGCCGCTTCACCTCCACCGCCTGACACCCCAACACGGCCAGGAGCCCCAAAACCAGCACAGGCGCCCGCATCTTCCTCTCAGTCCCTTCGACAGTCGATATCCGCTCTTCTCAGCCTATGTGACACTGCCAAGTTGAGCAAAGTCTTCCTTCGCCGCAGTTCCGGCAACGTCACATCCGGCAACCGGCGGCCGCCATATTGGGTGTGGCAGACGACCTACCTTCTCGTTATTCCCCTCTGTTTTCGAATTTATTTTCGCTGTGAGCCTTTATTGTTCGTTATGCAATCAACGGAACGACAGGAAATTACACAGGGAAATATATTTTGTATTGTAACCTACAGGAATTGAAACTGTCTGGCGCCATGTTGTGTTTGGCAGACAGGAAGATTTGCGATTATTCTGACATAAACTAAAGCAAATGTTGTTAGACGGGGATGTGAGGTGATTTTACGATCACGTAGGAACTTACAGGAATGTTATGAACGTAATTAATGGATATTGTAGAGCTGCTGAGGCACCCTGCGAGGAGTAGCAAGATGGCCAATTACTAAACACTGTTTGGAAGTACCAAGATGGCGGGCAGATTCCAGCCAATAGAGAGCCTTGTTAAGGTTCTACATGGAAACTGTTGCTAAGCAACAAAGATAATCAAACGTTGTTGGAGAGGAGAGCTGGCTTGGCACAGGCAGGAGAGAAGGACTTCTTATAAAGGTGGGTGAGGATATCATACCCATGTCCATACTAAACAACTAATTCCAGGTTCATTAATAGGTCCTGGTTATTTTGGGTTGGGGGGAACCCCCATGCAGTCCTGGCTAGAACTATGGCAAGAGTATTAAGCATTCAGCCTCCTTGCTGACCATATATTCCATAGCCGTCATCTGTCATTTATTTCCAAGGACGATTTCCATCCTGAAGACCTTGTGCTTGGAAAATTGGCGTCCCTGGAAATGTCACTGTTTTTAATTCCTGATGAATTGCACATATTTTCCCTTTTGTGCGCGTTCATTTTATTTACGCGTGCAATATTTATTAAGGGACATTTATTTTCAGTAAACCAGAGATGGGCAACTCCACCGACCCTCCAGCTGTTGTTGAGCTACAAGTTTTATGAGGCATTACAAGACTGACAGTTAAGCTGGCCATACACCTTACAACCATCGCACCACTTTCGTTGTGCAATGGTTGTAAGGTAGTTAAAATCTCGTACGATCTGCCCATCTTGGACAGGCAGATTGTACTTGCGATCATCACAAGCCCTCCACGCCCAGGGGAAGGCTTCCGAGGATTCCAATGCTGAGTGGGCAGTGTGCGGCCCGTTCGTCATTTGTCTTCCGAGCACGCCACTAAAGGTGCCCATACACCTGCCGATTATCGTACGATAATCGCGGGTGATCCCGCGAACGTATGATAATCGGCAGGTGTATGGAAGGCGTGCAACCGTTTCTACTGTACGGTCGCACGTCTTTTGTCTTCCGAGCACGCTTGAAAACCGGTCGAAATCGTAAGATTTTCGGCGGGCTAGTGGTGTGCTCGGAAGACAAATGAGAAAAAACGGGCCGGTGTGCGCAAGCGCACAATGCCTGCTCAGCATTGGAATCATTGGAAGCCCGCCCCTCAGCAGGGAGGGCTTGCGATGATCGCAAGTACGATCTGCCTGTCCAAGATGGGCAGATCGTACGAGATTTGACTAACCTTACAACCATCGCACAACAAATGTCGTGCGATGGTTGTAAGGTGTATGGGCACCTTAACACGCCAAAAATCGTACGATTCTCGGCAGGTTTTCAAGCGTGCTCGGAAGACAAAAGACGTGCGACCGTACAGAAGAAACGGTCACACGCCTTCCATACACCTGCCGATTATCGTATGATCGCGGTATCATCCACGATTATCGTACGATAATCGGCAGGTGTATGGGCACCTTTATTCAGGCATGACTCCCAGAGGCATGTTGGGATTTGAGTTGCCCACACCTGCAGTAAGCCAATATTTTAACTTATTATGCCATGACTGCAAAAATGTCCCTTATTTTTGTTGTTGCATTAAAGTCCATCTCCAGGGCAAAAAAGAAAACTCCCCTTGAATGGGGGCGGCCCCCACACTCCAAGGGTTAAAAGCTTGCTTAGGTCTAGGGGTACCTGCTTAAAGCAAATGTAATAACCTGATTCCCGTCCCCAGGCAGTCAGCGCTCTCCTTATTCATCAAACGCCAGACTGTCAACACATCAGGAGACCAACCCCCCGACTTGAATAGAAAACTGCCCCCGGTCACATGACCGTCCACCGGCTGCAGTACGCTAGATTGCCGCGTTTCAGGGGCATGCCCCCTTCAGCAGAATAATAGCTTCCTTCTCAGAGAGCAAGGTTTAAGATTGAAAGCTGGCCAATCAGAGGGCTCCCCTCCGTGACCAGTCTCAAGCTAATTGGTTCAAATGCAAAGACTACTCCCACCACTGTACGACATCACCGAGTCAGTGAGTCTTAGCCAGAAGCCGCGACCGACTTCAGACTGATCACGGAGGGAAGCCTTCTGATTGGCCAGCTTTCAATCCTAAACCTTGCTCTCTGAGAAGGAAGCTATTATTCTGCTGAAGGGGGCATGCCCCTGAAACGCGTCAATCTAGCGTACTGCAACTGGTGTGGGCGGTGATGTGACCGGAGGCAGTTTTTGATTAATTTTTTTCTTATTATTTGTTACTTTTTTATTTTTTAATCTTACTATCTTTTAATTTTTATTATGATTTTTTACTTTTTTTCATAATTTTTATTTATTCTATAATGTTTTTAAAAAAACAAAAAATGTTTGTTTAATTTTTTTTCCCACTTTATTGCTATCACACAGGAGCTAACAAGCACCTGTGTGATAGCATATGGAGGTGACAGGTTCTCTTTATTGAACCTGTCACCTCCAATACAGCAGCTCTATCACAGCACTGTACTAGAACTCCTGTGACAGCTGAGAGGAAGGGCTGCGAGTGCAACTCTCCCCTCACTGTCTCCTGAGAGGATCTCCGGCGGCAGAAAGGTAGCTGGCGGGGGGAGGGGGGATTACAGGCGAGAACTTCCTTTCCTGGCGGGGGGGCACTGTCTCACCTCATCAAAAGGATCCCTGCCGCTGCTCTGCTCTTCATACCGGCGCTGAGAGGCGTCGGCGATCACACCTCTCTGCGCTCCCTCTCTCTCCTCCTGGCAGCTCTGAAGCTGCAGCGGCCGGGAGGAGAGAGAGGGAGCGCAGAGAGGTGTGATTGCTGCCGCCGTGGCGACCGTCTTAAAGGGGCGACCTTTCCGTCGTTCCCACTGGCGACCTGCCTATATGGTAGCGCCGGCCCTGAGTACATATACACTTCATTTTACTCTTTATTAAATTATTTCACACATGGAGGCGGCGCTCTATTTTTTCTGTTGTTCATGCAATTGATGGGAACCCCGGAGCACTTCTGAATGAGCAGCCCATCAAGATAGTTTAAAGAGTGATTTCCAAAGCAGCGGGTGAATTGTTTTGACTGCAACCTTTAGCGCCAAGAGGTGTATACTTTATTTCTAGGTGCACACCTAGGCAATTTATCGCGCTATATCGCACAAAACACAGATTGGCATTGAAGTCAATGGAGACTGCTCACACCTTTGCGATTTGTCACGCGACCGAAATCGCCTGTCGCGCGATAAGGGACAGGAGCTATTTTCGGGCGCTTGTCACGCGGTTTGGGTCCCATAGACATTTCTATGCATTGAAAAATGAACAGTTGCGCGATCGAAAACGCGCGACAATCGCACGAAAACAGCTCGGCATCTGAGTCGCCTAAGCGTGAACCAAGCCTGCAGGTGTGATTGTTGTTATTTTGAAGACACGGGTAAAGGTCCGCTTTAAGAACAGATGACAAGTTCAATGTACATAGTGAGAATGAGGAAAACAGATCTGGGGATTTAACCTTCAAAAAGTCAGCAATGGGAACTTCCATGTTTCAGTCTGACATTCTGAGGACGTATGCAGCTGACCCCGGACAGAAAACGAACCGGTCATTCCTTCCCAGACATAGCAAACTATTAACACTTGGTGATTATCTCCATTTGCTCTTTCATAGGCAGCCATGCCGGGCACCACCATGCTATCCGGAGTGAAAGCTCCCATCCATGAGCAGATTGTGGAGCTACAGAAGAAGATTCAGCTGATGGGTGAGATAGGAACATGGCTGCTATTGATCACCATTGTTATCAGATCTATAACAATCACAGTGATTACAGAGAATCTGTCCTTTTCCATTCAGGGAATAGTGACAGGTCCTTTTAAAAGCCAGACCCATCCTAACCCACTTATAGTCACCATGATGCGCTTCCTGCCACTCCATTGTCAGAGCCCTCATGAACTACCTAGTGCTATACTGGAAACTAGGGATGAGCTCAGGTTTGGTCGGGACTTGAGTTCATCCAAGCCCAGAAGAAAGCTGTCAGTGCCGGCCCCTCAGCCTCAGCCAGGGCATTCCCTCCCTTGCAGCTGCACATAAACAAAGGGTGACATTATTGACAGTATGTGGCCACATGGCCTTATTTGGTCAATGACATTGACCTAACGTTGGTGACCTCATTGACCGCATATGGCCATATTTACTCAATGACATTGACCTAACGTTGGTGACCTCATTGACCGCATATGGCCACGTGGCCATTTTTGGTCAAAGACTTTGACCTAACGCTGGTAACGTAATAGACAGTATTTTCCCAGGTGGCCACATCTGGTGAATGACATTGACCTAAGGTTGGTGACCTCATTGACCGCATATGGCCACGTGGACTGTGTCAGGTTACAAGAAGAACAGAAAGTGGTGGTAAATCCCTTCAATAGGGATATGGACCAAACAAAAACATATTTCCTGTCCCGGTGACCACCCCATACTCCCCAATTCCTGTACAAGTATCAGGACAGGAATTGATACATGTCCTCAGAGTTGTCTTAGACAAAAATAGCCTGATAGGAATTTGACCTCTTCCCAACTTATTCCAAAACTTTCCACAAAAAAAAGTTTTGAAGCCTTCTGTGTACTATAAAGACCTATGTATACAATCCATTCCATTTGTATCCAATCAGGCAGGCCCTGGTACTACATACTTGGTGGCAGACCTATAGAAGATTCCACAGTCTGATTGTATAATGTATGGTCAGCTTTAGGCTTTAATGATGGGTCTTCACGCTTCTTATAGATGGCGATCACAAGGCTTACGAGGAGAACACCAGCTCGCAGGTTCAGAAGAACTGGGAAACCATACAGTTCCTGCGCCATGAAGACAAGAAGCTGCATAAGAAGCTGGCTGATGTACTTGCGGTAAGCAAAGTCAAGACAAGAATTATTCCTGAAATGATAATCTAACCGGACTCCTCCATCTTCCTTACACTTCTACCTGGAGCAATCATTACAATGGTATCTGTGATGTGGGACTACTGGATCTTGTATGAACTGTTGTTTTTCCCTAGGAAGGAATGACAGTTCATACATTGATGGTGCAAGTAGCATTGCAGTATTCTGCCAAGACACAATTGAAGCAAGGGGTGGAGTTAACTGAAATAGGCCACCACCGTGTACATTAAAGGGGAACTCCAAGCAAACAAAAGTCATACCCGTGCAGCGGGGCTATCTCTGCACTGCAAGGTTAAAGTGCTCAAATAATGGGCTCAAATAAAGCTGTATTACTCACCGGATCCTGGCTCCATCCAGGCTGCTATACCGGTCCCCAAAGCACCTTCTTCCATGGACTCTGGAGAATTACTAACGTCGTCGTGTCTTATGCAGGTCCATTGATCTGCAGTAGACATGAGCACGCCGAAGGACATTCCATAGCCGGAGTGATGGAGGGAGAGGTGATCGCTGATCACCACAGGACTGAGGATCAGGTGAGTTTTGCAGCTTTATTTGAGTCCCCTAGACAAAACAAGCACCTAACCCTTGCACTGCAGGGGCAACCCCACCGCAAAGGTGAGTTTTTAAATATCAGGTGACAAAAACAAGTGCAGAAATACATTTCTCCATTTGCAAGACAACAACAAAATTGCAGCCTGTGATGTCATCAGATGGTCCTCAATGTACTCCGTTCTTTAGCGCCAGTGGAAGGAGCAATTAGCTTGCACTGCATCACATGCCTATATGTAAGTGCACACATGTATACTACAATTTCAGTGAGCACTCAGTGCTTTCTGTTTCAGTGGAATGGCTCTTCATTGTACCTGGAAAGTCAGGGAAGGCATGTCAGTGGCAGCATTAATGGTGATAGCAGGATACTACTCTATCAGCGATGTATTTAACACCCACAAGTGACTTGGTGTGCATGCTAGTCCAGGGGACTACAAGGGGAGTGCCTCTGACAGGCAGGTCTCTGAGGGAGGGGATAAATGACACTGGCTGTCATCCATACAGGAAGTACCTCTGTGGCCATGGTATCTGAGGAAGGGACTAGATGACACTGGCTGTCATCCATACAGGAAGTACCTCTGTGGCCATGGTATCTGAGGAAGGGACTAGATGACACTGGCTGTCATCCATACAGGAAGTACCTCTGTGGCTATGGGCTCTGAGGAAGGGACAGGCTCTAGATGACACTGGATATCATCCATGCAGGAAGTACCTCTGCGGCTATGGTATCTGGGGAAGGGACTAGATGAAACTGGATATGATCCTTACAGGAAGTACTTCTGCGGCCATGGGCTCTGAGGAAGGGACTATATGAAACTGGATATCATCCATACAGGAAGTACCTCTACGGCCGTGGGCTCTGAGGAAGGGACTAGATGAAACTGGATGTCATCCATACAGGAAGTACCTCTACGGCCATGGGCTCTGAGAAAGGGACAGGCTCTAGATGACACTGGATATCATTCATACAGGAAATACCTCTACGGCCATGGGCTCTGAGGAAGGGACTAGATGGGACTGGATGTCATCCATACAGGAAGTACCTCTACGGCCATGGGCTCTGAGGAAGGGACTAGATGGGACTGGATGTCATCCATACAGGAAGTACCTCTACGGCCATGGGCTCTGAGGAAGGGACTAGATGACACTGGATGTTATCCATACATGAAATACCTCTGCGGCCATGGGCTAAAGGAAACCTTCAGCACTGAATTATGAGAAGCCCAGCCTCAACAAAAAGGTGTCACTTGCTGAAAAAGCATTTACAAAACATCTAAGACAGATTCATTTTAAAAGCTGAGACTGGAGTTCAGATTTACACACTACTTGCTGCAGAACAGTGTAATGAAAGGTTAGGTTGGAAGCCCCGGCACTTTTCTACATGAGACTTTGAGAGGTAGTCAGGATGTAGGCCTACATTCCCAACTTTATGCAACAGAGGTAGAAAAATGATTCTATGGCTTGAAGTTGTCTAAATCCAATTATGATTATCATGTCTTGTCTCACATGTGTGTCCCAGGGTGACGAGAAGGTGATCAAGGAGGCGTTTCAGAGCCATTCTGTGGAGAGGGCTTGTATGAGGAACAAGAGTGGCCGTGTAAGTACGGGTGTCTGTTGGGGATCTACATACATTGTTTTATTGGGACACGCCAGTGGACAGTACCACACTTCTCACTTACCACATATCACACTCTCTCAGGCTGCCATTCAGTTGATGGATCAGAAACTCTGTGACAAAATCAAGAATCTAAACGCGTGGCGCCATCAGACTGAAGTTCGGAAGAAGCGATTAGAACTTCTGCAGGCAGAGTACAAGGAGAAAGCTGAAAATGAACAGGCCAAGCCAGGGAAAGAAGACTGCGCTGCACAGAAAGAGCAGGTGAGAAGTGACAGAACTATTATGATAAGGAGGGATCGTCTCATTTTGGGTTGTACAAGTTCAGGCACCAGGTTCGGTTTTGTCAGCCCTCCATGTGGTTGTTTTTTGTCTTTATTTGAATGGACTATAATGTGCTCCTACAGACCTGAGCACAGCATAAATAATAATTAGCACTTAGGAGTTCTGTACAATACGAGCTTCCTGTTCGGCATCAATAGTAAAAATCCTTTATTTCATGCACAAGATGCTCCATAACTAATGCAAGACACTGTCTCAAACATGGAGTATCTTTATGGCCTTTGTCGACCGACTTTGGACTTGTGTCAATGGGAAAATAAATTGTGCTTTTGACATCAGTTTGAGACACTCCTAGAAATTATTTCAGATAACACTTTCATTACACACGGCATTCAGGATTCTCACACTGGATCTGAATGAAGTTTTAAGAGATGCAAGAAAGCCGTGCTTAATGTTATGCTCATTAGACAAGAAAAGATTAAAGCTGAACTTAAAGCGATATTAAAGGAGAACTATGACATGAGTGATTTCCACTCACCTCATAGTTCCTAGCCGACCTGTGACAATGAGACTGTCACAGGTCGGCTCAGTAGATCGGGAGGTGAGCGAACACATACCGGGTTCCCTCACCTCTCGATCCTGTCACGGCTCTCTGCCGTGACAGGGGGAGGGGCTGGATTCCCCTCTCCCCGCTCCGATCTGCCAGCGCTGACTGGCGGAACGGACAGGGGAGGGGGCGGGTACAGCTGGCTCTGCCTCTAGATAGGCAGAGCCAGCTGTCACTCACGCAGCTGGGCGGATCCCGTCATCTAAGTCGGGATCCGCTCCAGGTGCGGCGTCTCAGTATACCGCGAGCTGTAGCTCGCGGTATACTGAGCTTAGGGTAACGGGAGGACGCTAGTTTGTGTCCTCCCGTTACCCCAAGGAGAACTATGGGGAAAAACACTGACCCCATAGTTCTCCTTTAAACCCTCCTTTTTTAAATATTTGCTATAGGGATGCCCACCGTTCCCTGAGGCTGTTGTTGTTTTTCTTTAAAATCTTTTAATTCCTAATTTTCAAGTGGGTCCCCTCAGCGTTCTTCCCATCGGCTAATGGAGGCAGTGGCTGTGTGTCCAGAGACACACACAGCCCTGTGGCAGGCCACTCCCCTTCTCTCTTTAATTGATGGCAGAAGGAGCCTATGGCTCCTCTGCCATCACTATCCTCCCCCTGCAACCAGAAAGTACGGGGAACGGAGGATCTCTTCGGGACTGGGAGGGGGACAAGCATTGCTGACAGGTAAAGATGCCCATCATACGATAATCGCGGGAAATCCCGCGATCGTACGACAATCGCCTTGGGCGGTTTTTACCGGAATGCAGAGAATGCATTAAGGTAAAAAATACCCAGACCTTAATACTACTTTAAGGAAGGGAAAAAGCTGAATGCTCTGCTGAAATACACGTGCTGTATGTAAACTGCGAAAGGATTTTTTTATTTTGCACAGACAGTCTTTGCATCCAGGTACCTCTGCCAAGCAGCACAGCCAGCTCCTTGCCCTGCACTGCTTGGGCAGGAACACACCCCTAGTCTACTGTTTGGACAATGAAAGAGCAGCAGTACACTGATGAGGTCATTCATCTGCTCTCAAGTCCGATCAGCATGTTCCTTGTCAGCGCGTATGCATGCTCCCCCTCCCTCACACTGTCCGAAGGGTCATGTACAGTGGATGGCGGGCGGCTCATATAGGTAAAAATTTAAGTTTTTACACTATTTGCATTGCCGGTTCAAATCCCGGTCAGGACACTATCTGCAAGAGGTTTGCATGTTCTCGCTGTCCTGGTGTGGGTTTTCTCTAGGTACTCCGGTTTCCTCCTACATGCTGGAAGGTTAATTGGCTTCTCTCTAAATCAGCCCTGTGTGTGTGCATGTGATATAGGGACCTTAGACTGTAAGCTCCTTGAGGGCAGGGACTGATGTAAATGAATTTACTATGTAAAGCACTGTGTAAATACCAATAATAATAATGACTATGTATCTGCAATAATTAATATATCTGCCCATATTTCAGGTGTACTTGGCCTTTAACTCATATTTCCTGCTTTTAATGGGGGCCAATATGGTTCATCGCCTGACCACAATATTCTCCCAGGTCTTGGTGTCTTGTAGAGACATCAAAGTGTAAGCTCTTCTTGGGTGGGGAAATATGTGAATGGCTCATTGTCCTCTGTAATACACCCTAGAACAAGTCTGTTATATATGCAGTAATTAAACACATAAACTCTGATTGGCTCACCCTATAGTGGGAGGGGCAGGCGCTGTGATCACATGTTCTATATTTTGCCTCATGATGGTTTACTTGTTTCATCCACAGAATGAAGCCAAAGAAGAGGAGGAAACTCCTCAACAGGTTAATTATTTTTTGTTTGACCAAAACTGTCCTAATCCAGAATCAAACTTCACTCACCAGCCAATGATTCTGCTGTACTGTACACTCTGCAGTCTGCAATCTGCAAGCATTTTTCTCCTCTGCTTCAAATTTCACTCCTGCCTTCCCCTACCTCTCAAGATTCTGTAATATGTACATATTAATGGAAACTTCACATTTAATGACGTTGTCCTTTAAATAATCATCCGTCCACCTTACAGTAGCCAGCATAATATTTACTGACTTCCTCATTTCCAAATTATTCACTAAGCAGTCTTGCCTGGCGCCACACAGCCTTTGCATCCAAAACATCCTGGTACGGTCCTGTGCCTAGCGGACATGGCCTTATTCATTCCTATGAATGGTCTGTACTCATGGGGGGCATGCTAGACCACAGATCATCCATAGGAATAGAATGGTGTCCACTAGGAAGAGAACCCAGCCAGGACATTTTGGATGGAGAGGCTGAACAGCACCAGGCAAGTCCATATAGTGAACAACAGAGCTTTGGAGATAAAGCTAAGTATTGACCTATGCCGCTACAGTGGAGGAGGTGTGGGGTTGTTTTTTTTTGAAGGACAGCTTGGCTTTTGAAAAAAGTTGTCCTTTATGAGAAATTTGGAAAGTGATTTCTCTAGAATACTGTATTCCTAAGAAGAATCCAACATCTGTATTTAGCGCATCCCTACTGGATACTTCAGAGGAGTACAAGGAGAGCTCATATAGGCCGGTGAATATACTAAGACCAAGTTCATCCAGTCAAGGGTTGGGTTAGGATGTTGGTGGTCTCTGCTGGAGTCCCAGTAAAGCACTGTTGGGGAAATGAACCTTGAACATTTCTGGGTGGAGCTCTTCCTTAATGCTTTTAATATTTCTTTGGATAGTTGCCAGGTTAAATCACCCACTAGCTTCTTACTCCTCAGGAATTCTGATGGAGGGATGTTGAGTTCCCATCTCCACCCACCAGCTATGACCAGTAAAAGGAGAAGTGAGGACCTCTAGTTTGGCATCATAGTGTTCACATCTGCGGGGTGGGGCTGGGAACTCTTGACAGATAAAAGGAGCCAGTGGAAGATTCAATGTGGCAGCATTAGTTTTAGATGGACCCGTGTTCAGATTCCTCATTGCTAACATATCACTTTGTACCTCATGCAGAATCTACGCATGTTGGAGAATCGCCTGGAGAAGGCACAGCTGAAACTACAGGAATCGGAGCACATATACAATGTATACCAGAAGCTGAAAGACCACATGCAGGTGATTAACATACTATAAATGCTTTTTTACTCATTTAGGCACTGAGTCTCTTCTGCAGGGAGCCTGGAGTTCAGCTTTAAGTTGCCTTCCCCTGCTGACAAGCCCTTCTCCCACTTGGTGGCCCGCAGTTTCGCATTGTGATAATTTTTTGCTATTATGGAAATGGTAAACAAAACTTTGGTAAGAATTGCACATCCCGTACTATTTTTGATGATGAGAAGTTGAACCCTAGAGGGAGACACTTGAAAAGTCTTACAGGGTTATTCACAAAAGGGTGAAGAGTTTGGAGAAGACAGGAGAAGTGAGCAATCTAGGTCAACATAGCTGAACTGGAAAGTGAGCTGACGGAGAATTTTTCCAAATCAGCTATTTTGGCCTAGATTGCTCACTTCTCCTGACTTCTCCAAACCCTTCACCCTTTTGTGAATAGCCCTGTTAGTTATCGCATAACATTACAGCCGTTGTCTGAGTGATCTTGTCTCCAATCACAGTTCAGTGAGGTACTGCAAGATGCATTTATCTCTTTTTTAAAGAGCGCCTGTTCTTTGTCCACATTAGGCAAATAAAAGGTTGACTGCATAGCGGAATCCATAAGATGCCTGTACCTAGAGTGACACTAAACTCAGGAGTTAAATCTTAAAAATACATTCAAGTCGCCTAACTAATAACAAAAATGTATCCTATTTGTGTATCACTCGGCTGTAGATCCTCAAATCATCTCTGAATTGGTGCTGACACTGTCCTTCCTTCTGGAGGGGGGCTACTTTTGTTCCCCATGGTCCCTGTGTGTGTTGTAAAGTATCCACCGCTCTAAGCTCACTCCTGTGATGGACTACAATCTCACGTTTAGTTTACTATTTTGTATTGAGATTGTAGTCCATCCCGGGAGTGAGCTTGTAGCGGTGACTACTTTACAACACACACAGGGACCATGGGGAACAGGAGTAGCCACCCTCCAGAAGGAAGGTCAGCGTTAGCACCAATTCAGAATTCTGCTTGGCACAGCGGCCATTTAGTGAATGCTTTGTGTTTTTTTTTTTATCAATTAATACCTATTGGTTCCCTTTTTCATGAAGGCAGGTGTTAACATCTCCAGACAAAGAAAAAATGTATCCTTGCTGTGGGGCTACCCACCACTGCAAGGGTTAAGTGCTCACATTTCTGCACTTTACTTCTTCTTTTCCTTTGCTCCGGATATTGGAATGTCCCTTGACGTCTTCACATCTAATGCAAGTCTATGGGCCTGCATAATATGCAATGACATCAGCGGTCTTTAGACTGCCAGAGAGAAGGGAAGAAGAGGCCGCAGGAACTAGTCTAGCAGCCAAGATGAAGCTGGCAGGACCGAGGATAAGGCACACAGCTTTAATAGTGTCCCCTAGACATAAATGAGCACTTAACCCTTGAAGTCTGGAGGTAGCCCCACAGCAAGGGTTAAGATATTATTTGCCCCGAGTTCTCCTTTAATCTATGCAGTGCGAGGGTAGCCCCACTGCAAGGGTAAGTTGTTTGTTTGCCCAGGGATGGGCTTTAACATAATAAAAAAAGTTTCAAAACATCAGTTTAAATTGTATAAACCTAACAAAATGAAATCAAGTGCCCCAAAACTATTGGGGGTCATTGGGAGGAGCGCGTTTTCTTTTCCCACCCCCATCCCTGACAATTAGGACAAAAGAAGGAATGTATTCTATTTTTTTCAGTCTTCCTCTTGTGTAGGACTATCAAGGGCATAAGAACTCGTTAGGAATATTTGTTTTTCAGCAGAATTGGGTTACGTGGTCTGTTGCTACATGTAGTGATGCTGATACTGTTTCTGCAGGAGGAAAGCCTGACATTTCAGTCACAGCTGGATCTCTTGGAGGCTGAAATACTGCGACAGAGACAAGAATTGAAGGAACTTCAGGTGGTGAACAAGGAGGCAGTGACATCACGGGAAATGGGCCGGGTATGTGGCGGAGTGACATGAACTGAACTCTGGACTATGGAGCGAGACTCGAATATTGTCTGTGAATTACAGGTCCTCTTTATTACATTATACACACGGTCCATCACAGGGGAGATATTCTAGTAATAATATCTGTATATTATACAGCTCCTTTATTACATTATACACAGAGCAGACTCCTCTGGGGAGATACAAAAAAAAAACGAGGGTTTAACCCGTTAAAGGATAACGGGTTAGTAGCGGGCAACTTAAGGATCCGGACACGTCAACCGATTGTAGAAAATATATAATTTTATTGAAAAAACCACACACTATTGCACATTAGATTCACCGACTACCATTAAAAACGTTGTGAAACACATACAGTCATAATTATTATGTGGATCGATCCTCATTGGTTTTAACATTAACCTTGTATCCCCACCATGGGAGGAGGAGGGGGGAGGGGGAAGGGAAAGGGGATAACCGATGTGGCTATTGCTTCGGTTCCCTTTCTTTACCCTTTGCACACATATAGAATCTTTGACCAGGATCTCCTCTGGGGAGATCCTGGTCATATATATGGATCATACAGCTCCTTTATTACATTATACACAGAGCAGACCCCTCTGGGGAGATCCTGGTCATATATATGGAGAGACACTGTAACAATAGCTGTGTGTTACACATTGGCTTTCAATTACATTATATGCATGTTGGTCTTCTATATTGTTTGGATGTTAAGGGTAATACAATCTAAGCAGCTCTGTAAAGTACGTCTCTTTTTTTACAGGCAGAACTTCAGCGGCAGGAGGAGGAATTCCACCGTGAGCGCAGAGAGAGGGAGGCGATCCTGCAGGAGTATAAGAGCAAAGCAGAGGAAAGACGTTTATTTGCCGAGAGAGATCGCAGGGTGAGGAGTTCTGTTTGATCACATATGGCACACACAATACTGTGAAAGACAATGTACTATGCGGAGACTGAGAGTGATGGCAGAAATAAACAAAAGCAAAGCAGGAGGCGGTGACCATGCATTCATTTTATTATCCCTGAGATAGAGCTGGTACAATGAATGCCAGGCTACCCTCCTTCCGTCATAGACAATAGCACGCCGGTGATCCATGCATGCCTGTATCAGGACATTGATTAAATAAATATTATTTTAAATATTGTTGCACGTCTGACTGCCATGTGAGGTCTATGGGTAGCTTAACATTAGTTTAATGAGGCCCTGTCACCAACATAAAACAATTGTATGCAAAAGCACAGAAAATGTCAAGTACTTTAAAAGCTTGCTTGCAGCGTTTTCCCTTTCCATAAGTTATTTTTTATTTACTGGGAGTGTCTAAGTACTTTCTGTGCTGGCCCAGCCCCTGTGCCCCTCATACATACCTTTCTTATGCAGCTACCAGGAGAGAAGGGGAATACTATCGGGTCACTTAAGTGACAGCTCCGAGTCTGCTGGGGCTGCTGACATCGCATCCAAGATGGTGGCGCTCAGCAGAAGTCTCAGGGGTCTTGGATGTAGGCAAACTCCCGCTTCCCCACCCTCATGTGACTGTGTGGGGCTTGGTAATTGGCCGATCTGGCCCTAAGCACTGCTTTGTAGACAGGCCCTTGCTCCGCCATACCCAGAAGTCCTGGGATGTTACAGAGCAACAATTTGAATCAGAAGTGCAGGAGAACATCAGTAAAGTTTAGACGAGCCACCAGAGGATGCCTAGAAAGGGGTTGGTAGTAGGGTAGGGGATTTTTGTATGTGTTTCTTTAAAATTATTGTCTTATTTTGGGGCTTTGGGGAATTCAGTAAAGCTGTTTTTTAGCCCTCCATCTCTTACACATGACCCCTTTATCTCCACCCAGAGCCCTGTTGCCTATCTCCTTGGGTTGTGATAAACTTCATAATATGATACCTTGTGTAAATGTGGAATCTCTGGGGGCGATCTGTGAACTGGTACCCTTATACATGGCCGTATTTCTCTGCAATGGGTTATAACCATTCCTCTGTCATCTTTTATAGGTTCAGCGTGTAGTTTTGCCAGGAGAGGATACTCCTGTGGAAACCCAGCTGGTGGCAAGTGGACAAGAGGAGGAAAAAATGATCCGCACTTATCAGGAGGCCTTTCAGAAAATCAAGGAGGCCACTGGGGTGACTGACACACAGGTAAGAGGTATATTAGTTTGGATGGATAAAGAAGGTGCATGTAGAGACCAGCTCATAATAGATGATACTCCAACTGAAGTTCCATTAACACATTAACGTTTGGCTATGTCCGTTTGTGTGCTGCACCTATATTTACCAAGATTCGAGGTCCGCTGCTTCTCTGTTTGTTGACATCCAGTGATGCAAGTATGTCTCTCCTGGCCACATCCATCTCCCTGATGGGAAGTAGCCCTATAGAAGTCTATAGGGCTGTAGTGTGCAAGTGCAGCCAGAGGAGGAAGAATGCGGCTCTGGATATAAACAATAGGAGAACCGTACCCATCAGATCTCGGTAAGTACAGACCTGCAGAGGGGCAGGGTGAGAATCGAGGGATTAGAACCAGAACCAGGACCATATTATTTTGTTATTTTGTATGAGTCTGAGAAAGGAGAAAAATTAGTTTTCTGTTGCATGCCCAGCACGGTAACTCAAATCATTCAGCTTTGTATGATTTTCCCAGGTTTTGAGTTGTGAAAGGCTTGTTGTGGTCTGTCTAGTCAGAGCTGGGTGGTGGTTTGCATACAATTGAGGTCAAGGCTTTATATTTTCCTGAGTTATGTTGAGAGGAATGCATTATATGTAACTACTATCATAGGGATGCCTTATCTCTGAGCGGAAGGTAGATGTATTATCTAATGGTACCTTTTCTAATGTTACCTATCTCTTTCCCGTGTCCCTTTTTCTGATCAGGAAGTGGTCAAGCGTTTTGTTGCTCAGGGAGAGACCCATCAGCACCTGGAGGAACTGAAGAGTGAGAATGAGAAGACCCTGGTGAGGCTGAAGGAAGATAAGGAGAGGCTGCAGGAAGTCTTCCAAGAGCTCAAGTACTCGGGAGAGGCCAAGCTATCCAGGTAGATGGGTCACAGATTTACACCTGTTACCATGCTCGAATTAGATGGTGGATGGTACCATGTTTCCATCAGAAATTAAACTCCCAGCATGGACCCCCTCAAAATGGCCATGGCTGGTGTGCAGGCCTATTGTCACACAAGCTGAGATCTCACCAGCAGATGCCCTGAGAGACAGAAGAAACAATTAGACAGTTTAAAGCGACAGCACCAAATAAGCAGAGACATCAGTTTTAGCTGGACTAACCCTTGAAAGTAAATTCAACTCTCAGTATGGACCCCCTCAAAATGGCCATGGCTGGTGTGCAGGCCTATTGTCACACAAGCTGAGATCTCACCACCAGATCCCCTGAGAGACAAAGGAAACCATTAGACCAGGGGCGGAACTACTGTTGGTGCGGCTGCACCGGGGCCTGAGGCTGGGTCTAACTGCACACTGTGTGCTGTTATTTCGTTCACATTCCACTGCTGTAAAACTGGGCGGGATTACGTTAAAATGTGTGACCACGTCAGTGGTCACATGGGGGGCCTCTTACATGGGTATCAACTGTCTTAGGGGCGGCATGGCAGAGGTGACAGGGGAGGGGGTGGAGGAGGCTGGGCCCCAGCAGCAGCAGGTAAGAGGAGTTGGGAGGAGGTACAGGGAAAGGAACCCCCCGGGGCCAGCCAACCTGAGAACCTGCAGAGCCCACCATAGGGAGTCTCAGATGGGCTGTGCAGGATCTATGGTGTCACTCTCAGGTAGGCTCTGCAGGGTCTCAGGTAAGCCCAGAGTCCAGCTTGTTACTAAGCTCAGAGTACAGTGCGTTACTAAGTTAAGTCCTGAGTCCAACACGTTACTCAACCCTGAGTCCAGCACGTTACTAAACCCTGAGTCCAGTGCGTTACTGCAACATTAGAGATCGCTGGGGGGGGGGCAGTGTGATCTGCTCCCGTGTCCCCCTCCCTGGCCCAAGAAAGATAAAGTCTTGCACCAGGGCCCTTTGTTCATTAGGTCCGCCACTGCATTAGACAGTTTAACGCTACAGCATATAGTAAACAGGGACATCAGTTTTAGGTGGACAAGCCCTTGAAGCATACTGTTATGTGCTCACATTCTGATGCCTCCTTCTACAGGTAGCTTTGTGCTCCTGGTAAAGGGTGCAAATTACAGTTGATGGTCTAAGACCCATCTCATGGACCTGATATTAGCACACAGGAGGGATTTAGAGCCTTAGTTCAGCTCCTGTGGTTTAGGGCCCTTCAAATGGGTCCCACATTGCTTCTGAGGATTCCCAGGCTGTTAGAAATGCAATTGGGAAACACATTTCTTTATCATCCATTGAGGGACACAGGAATTCTAAGACCATCTCATGTAGGCAGCAGTATAACCCTACTATGCTTGATCTGTTCAGAGCTGTGTCCTTCAATCGACTCTGAAGAAAGAATTTATGGTGAGTACAAAAATCCTGTTTTCTCTATCGTCCATTGAGGGACACAACTCTGAAGAGATCAAGCAATGTAGGGTTATACTGCTGCCCACAGGAGAAATGACAGTCTAAGAATTCCTGTGTCCCACAATGGACTCCAAGAAAAGGATTTGGTAAGTTCAAAAATCCTATTTCTGTTCTAGAGAATCACTGGTATATTTACATCATGAATAAGGCTGAGCACCTGAGAGATAGGAGTTAAGAAGAACAGCAATTAAAAACAGGGGTGGGCAAACTCTGGCCCTCCAGCTGTTGTGGAACTACCAATCCCATGAGGCATTGCAAGACTGACACAGCCACAGACATGACTCCCAGAGACAGATGCATGACAGGATTTGTAGTCCAGCTGGAGGGCTGGAGTTAGGCCACCTCTGATTTAGAGGCAAAGCAAAATCATACCGAAGTCTCTTTGTTTCACAGTAGCCTGACGTCTTACTAGCGATCCTGACGCTGACGCCAACTCGCCATCTACAGGATCGCTATCAGGGCACAGAAATACCTGCTTCCATGTGTTGCTCCCTTGCTGATTGTATGGGTGAGACCCTGATCCCTTGCTGATTGGCTTTCATTCTGCAGTGTTTCTGTCAGCGCTGACGCCTCACTCATCTGGCCAGCGAGGGACTGAAACATGGAAATAGGTATATACTCTGCAGTTTTTAGTAATCATTGGAAAATTCCTACCAGTGACAGTGTACAATGGCCCGTAGGCTAAATTCACAAAAAGATTAGGAACTTTACGTCAGTCCTAAGATTGTCATTTTCAAATCCCATTGGACTGAAAATTACTTTTTTTTAAATAAGGCTCATATTCTGACTCCGATTGTTGTATTAGCATTTTAACCCTTGCTGAGACCTCTATGTCTGGCCTGTGTAAGTAGATATAATCACCGCGGACAATCCTTATCAGATAGCTGAACTCACCAAATACCTTTTTGGTCCACAAAGAGCTTTATTGCTTGCAGCAGGTTACAGCAGTCAACAGGATACAGCAGATGAATGAACAGATTGTATTTGAAGGTCAGAGATGGTAATGTTTCCAAGCGAGCATATACATGTGGCCATATTACAGTCAGCCATGACACCAGAAAGTCTAACAAGAAGGAAGTACATCACACACAAGGGGAGGGAATACAGAACACATGGTGCAATCACCAAAATGCCCACAAGATGGCAGTGCATTAAACAGTTATTAATGCCAATGAACACATGGCTAAGGAAAATTAACTATGTAAATCCTCGATTTACATTTGTATGCACACCAACTATGACTATGCATTGTGTCATATTTTTACAACTGTGTAACAGCACAATCCTTACCTGGGAGTGTTTTATGAACCAAGCCTATTATTTTTGTTCTTCCACACTCACAGTGGCCAGCAGGTACTGGAAGAGCTTCAAACTCATCTTCAGGAGGAGGACAAGAGGCGGGACAAGTGTAAGGAGGATCTGGAGAAAATGTCTAAAATCCTGAGCAATTCAAAGTCAGGAATGGAGCATCTGACTAGCAAAGTCCAGCACATCAAGGTGGTAAGTGACCTTCCCCTACTAGTAAGTGACCTTTCCCTTCTAGCAAGTGAACTTCCCCTTCTAGTAAGTGACCTTCCCCTTCTAGCACGTGACCTTCCCCTTCTAGAAAGTGACCTTCCCCTACTAGTAAGTGACCTTCCCCTACTAGTAAGTGACCTTCCCCTTCTAGTAAGTGACCTTCCCCTACTAGCAAGTGACCTTCCCCTTCTAGCAAGTGACCTTCCCCTACTAGTAACTGTCCTTCTCCTACTTAGTATATTACCCTTGCAGGTTGAGTGTAATGTAATACCGCAATATGGCCACTAGATGGAGCTGAGGAGCATGGGAATAACTGCCACT